TCTGCAAATTTCTTCTGCTGCTCCTGCGTCTCAGCTTGAAATTCCTGCCATTGAGTATGCAGTTCGGCCTGTCCCGTCCTCAGCTGACTGGTCATCTCGAAGACGGCCTTTCGGTTTCTTTCTGCGGACTCTTGGTTAACTCGCTTGCATTCCTCTCGCTGCTCACTCAGTTGACGGGTTAAGTCAGCTTTGAGCCTGTCCTGATTATCTTTAATATCGTCTTTCAATTTGTCCTGACTATTCTTTAGCTCTGCTTGAAGTCGTTCTTGGTTGTCCTTTAATTGTTCGGTGATCTCTTGGCTGTCCTTAGCCTGTTGATCGATGCGGGTTATGAGCTCTTCTCGCAGTTCCTGATTAGCGCTCCTGCAATATTCGCTCTGTTGATCCAACTTTAGGGCTAAGTCTTTTAAATCTTGGTTTTGTTTGTCTATTTTCTCGGTAACTTCAGCCCTCATTGCTTGGTTGTCCTTAATCTGCTTGTCCATCTTTTCCTTCATAACTTTATTATCTTCCTTATTCTCCCTCCTTTGTTCATCCATCTTTGCAGTCTGTTTGTCCATCCTTGTGTTTAGAACCTGCATCAGCATTTCTAAGGTTACAGTTGGAGGACTTCCGGCGGCGTTTGATTGGGAAGCCGTAGACGGTGGGTTATTTTGAGGACTAGTTCCGGCCTCTGTTGCTTGCTGTAGTTCCATTTTACCGGCGTGACTAGAGTCGTCCCAACTCARTTGTGCGTCACGTAATAAGTCGGAGGAGGCTTCACTTGAAGTGTCGTCCTCGGTATCGCTGGACTGTTCTGGTTCTGGTTGGTGTATGGGCTTAAATGAGATCTCGGAGTCCACTTCGATAGAGTTATCGATTCTGCTTTCTTCAAGAAATGAGAAATCTAATCGAGCGATCGGCGTAGAGTGTGTACGGCGATGCTTTTTAACTGCGGCCAGTGTCCCTGGCGGTGGACTGGTGGGTGTTCTTGTAGAGTAGTGTAGGCTTGCTTCAAGTTCCTCTTTATCTGCTTTTTCTTGTTTTCGTTTCTTGAAAGCTTCCACTACTTTGTTCATGTGTATTTTGAAGCGTTTAGAATTGTACGTTAGTTTCTGTACACGAGGCCAAGTGACACGTATCGGTCACCCGTAGTCTCTTTGTTGTTCTTTGAATCACTTAACGTAGACTGTACAATGTTCGTTTGAGCGTAACAACACCTGTCAAATTTACTGGTACCCGTTTGGTCCTCTGGTTACGATCGTCAAAACTCGTTGACTTTTCTGTTAAATGCGGAAACTTTGGTGCTCGGAGAGGGATAAGAAAAATGAGCTAGACGCATCTACACTCTCGTTTGACGACTCCTCGTGGTCAATATGCAATACAATAAACGATGCCCTCTTTACCTTTGGTTTCCTATTCTTCAATATTTTTTTACTTGTTAATTGTGAACGCTGTTCCTCTGAACTTGACGTATATAGTGTTCTCRACTGGTGYTTCTTTGCTGTTTGAAATAGTACAATGTACGGGATGTCCTTCGCTGAACAACTCAAAATGACTCGAGTTGCGATAGTTCGATGACGTTTGCTTACTAGAATAACGTATTCTTCTTTTGCTTCTTTTCTTCTCCTTTTTCTTCTTCTTCTTTTTCCTCTTCTTCTTCTTCTTTTTCTTTTTCTTCTTAGCCTCCGTGAGAGACCTCCTCTGTTCCAATTACCCGGATTCTCCACCACTGTTACGGTAAGAATTTTGTTCGTACTTCGTGTTTCACCGAATGTCGGGGTGGACTAGCTTCGGTAGTAGCGACTCGAATTGCAGGGCCCGTAATCTGAACTTTTACCCTACGAGACGGCACGAGACTTGGATACAGAGCACGGAGTAATTTCTGGTTCAACTCTTGGTTTAATCTTCAACACTGATAGCTAGCATTCGCTAGGTGGTCTCTAATCTTACAATGTGTTGTTGCTCTATTTATGTGATTACAACTCCTTTCTTTAGAGGTCATATTACATAATTGATTGCTAGAACTATAACGCGTAAAACTCGAAAACCAATCAATTTGATAATAGCAAAAATATCATAAGATGAGGTAACATACGCAGGAGATTATTGGCTGTAACTAGAAAGTCAAGTAAAGCGTACAACTGGTACAAGTAACTTTTCATCACTTTAAATTCCTGGCCTTAACGCTTGTTTCCAGGTAGTTAACGCTGAGATCAGCGATCCCTACTATCGTGACCAAAATAGTGAATTATAGATTACTTGCAACAGGTGTCTTTTAGAAAAACTCTAACTTAACCTGCTAGGTAAATATCGTGACACAATGTTTTGCCAATTTCCTAATATTGCCAATTTAAACAATAAATAACTGAATTGTTTCCTTAAACAATTTTGATCAATTTTCTCCCGTTACATTACCCTCACCTTAAGAGCAAAGCCTCCTGGCTGCGAAAAATTCAAAAGGTACAATGCGTAATGAAGAAAAAAAACTGAGCACTTTCGTAGCTATCACGGGACGCAACCGTATCCAATACCGGTCAAGGCTAATCATAGGCCTCCGGGGGTCGCAATCAAAAAAAATTACCCAATGTCCTTTACCAATAGTACTCGATGGGTTCTAAAGGCTTGAGAATCACTGTGATCTACATTACTAATTGTTTCTATAACTTGATTTGTAAAAAGGAATAATAATTCTAAAATATCTCGAAACTATGATTAAAGTCTATTTGTTTTAGCCTAGATCATGGTCGCCATAATGTTCCTTAGACGAGGAGCACCTTTAGATACTATGGAGTGGAAGTACATCTCTGCGAAGCAACATATTACCGCGACAGCAGTATCGTTGCCTTGCTCGTCTTTCTTGCGCTCTTCATATTCGGCAATCAGGGAATAATCGAAGATATTCTCCTCCGGTTCCCAGGTGTTTTCACTCGCAGGGCAATCTTTCCACTTGATAAGATACTGCGTCACGCCTTTTCGTTTGCGCTTGTCGACAATCTTTTCTGCGCGGAAAATAGTTTCGTTGTCTACAATCTTATCCTCGTCAGTGTCTTCTGCCTCTTCGTCTTTTTCGTGAGGTGCGTTGTCAGAAGATTCAGGTGTTTCTTTTTCCTGATCTTGATCCTGAACATGTTCAAAACTGTCATCAGGCATCTCATGTTCCTTTAGGTAAGGCTCGTGGAGTACATCGAGTGGAGGTATTCCAATTGGTCGGGCCTCAGGATCGACATAGCGTTTCATGCGATTTACGTGCACGCTAGTAGACATACGGCTATTGTCGGGAGTACGAAGTACAAAATGTACCGGAGATAGTTGTTTTACCAAACGGTACGGCCCGTGCCAGTTGTGTGCCAACTTCTTGGTCAGTCCTTTCTTGACATGAGGTGTGTAGACCCAAACCTTGTCTCCGACCCGGAATTGCGGGTTTCCTGTGTGCCCGTCATAGTATGTTTTCATCTTTTGTTGCGCGCGTTGTATATTCTCTCTGGCGATTTCATGAACACGCTCGATACTCTTTACAATTCTTTCCCTGTGTTCAGCGACAGATGCCGATATATTAGTTGGCGGAAGTAAACTGACATCCATTGGTAGGCGTGGCTCTCGTCCGTATAATAGATAGAAGGGAGATTCTCCGGTAACTTCTGATGGCGATACGCGGTATGCAAATAAGACGGTTTGCAGGTGTAGATCCCAGTCAGATTGTTGATCGTTAACATACATGGATAGGCTTTGAGCCAGGGTTCCGTTGAAGCGTTCAACCAATCCGTCCGTCTGCGGGTGATAAGCCGTGGTGTTAACTTTCTCAGTATTAACTAATCGGCATACTTCCTTTACTAGAGTAGATAAGAAGTTAGCTCCTCTATCGGACAATAGTGTTCTGGGTGCGCCATGTCTGGTAATGATCTGCTCGTAAAGCAGTCGGGCAATCGT